ATGTATTTATATTTATTGGGAACGGTTCCACATTTCGTGCCGGTGCACGACTGGTGCAGTCATATATATTATATATGACTGCACGGTTGGTGCGGTGGCTGGGCAACCGGCTGCCGTGCAACGTGTCGCGGGTTCGATTCCCGCACGGAACAACACTTTGTGTGTTCTCTCAATCTCTCTCTCAATCTCTACAAATTGTTGTTTCGGGTCTGGGTGTCATTGTGTATGTGAACTTGTATGTTTGTAAACGCACACGAACACGCAACGACACAGGAGAAAATACAAATGTGGCAACGTCTTTTATAAAAAAAAATTCGAGATATCAATAATTTGTAAATATGACAGTCCAAATAACTGAGTAAATCTACCTATATAGATAAATAAAATTGTTTTGAACCTGATTGAAAAAGAGTAACCTATGGATTTTCTTGCTCGTTCAATTCTCCATAGGAATACTTTGAAATGAGCAAATAGCTTCACTTTCAATTTTTTGTTGACGTTCAAAAGTGCCTTCCTGGTCTAATTGAAATAAATGATTTAGACTTTGGCTCTGACTTTGACTTTGTAATTGTAAAATAATAATAATAATAATAATAATGCCGCTGGTGCTCTCCAGTACGGGAGTCATCCCTAAAAACTTACATCACGGTATCCAACTCCTAGACCTCCATAAAAACACATATACAACCATGCAGAAAGCCGCAATTCTGAACACCTGTCGTATTGTGAGGAAGTTTTTGCAAGAAGAGACCACCGATCAAGTACCCCATGATTTTCACTTGGTTTAGGCCCGTGAACTTCATATTATTACCGAAATTTGTATAATTTCGAGAAAAAGGGAATGCCTCAATAATAATAATCACTTTTTACTACATGCTTATGAATATACGATACACATACCAATTTTTTTTAGCATTTTTTGTCTATATGTATGTACTGCCTAATCCCTGGAATGGCTGGACCAATTTTAACGGGACTTTTAGTACTTTTATTACTTAGCTACTTAGGTCCGCGGAAGACTTAACGGGTTGCCGGGGCTCCGGTTCGAAGTGCAGGAGTAAGAACGGGGTGGTTTTTAGTCAGTAATAAGTAGTCTGACACTCCCTCTCGCTTCACCCGGGCGGGAGAAGTCATTGGATGATTTTCCCCCCTCAAAAAAAAAGTAGCTACTTAGGTAAGTACAAGGTGTTAGTAACAATAAACTACACAATCAGATATGCATTTTGCACCGTACTAAACGAATATCTACAAAAGTCATCGAGTTATTGATGTATTAATATATTATCTTAATCATCAATTAAAAACTATCTAATCACAATTACTTCGAGATATCCAATCATTTTGGTAGAAACGTTTCATCAAAGTCAGTTAGGATTATATTTAATTTCATTTATTGTATTTTGGCGCAATGAAGTTGTATAACATTTTTACCGTTTTTGTGATATCTTGTTGTGGTATTGTGTGTTCACAACTTAGTAAGTACAATTTTTAGTAAAATAACTATCGTGAGACTTAATTAAAAGGGCCGGTTAACTCACGTAAGTAGGTATAGTTTGGCCGTATGACGTCACCACGTCCGCGCACGCTACTCATGAAGGAGAGTCCCTCTGTGGCTCGAAACTAGTAGAGATTTTCTCAATATTTACAAGAGTAAACGTACATTTTTAATTAAGTAAATATACTATTATCTAACTCTTGGCCTTAAAAAAAAATATGACCAGTGTCTAAATCAATATTATTATGCAGAATGTGACCATTCATCTCTTAATACTTACGAGTATACTATTTCGACAATTATCACTTCTCTGTCGTTTCGCTCTTGGCATAGAGGTCGTGGTCACGTTGAGGCGGCCGTATTTGTGTTGGAGGCCAGTACAGCTTTCCTCACGATCTCCCGCCATCTCTCTCTGTTTGTGAATTTCCTGGCGCAGTCTAACACTGGGTTTCATGTTGCTAATTTGACAATCGTATTTAAACTAAAAAAGCTGTTATACCTACTGTAACATCAAAAGCCCTTCCAAAATTAGTCCGTTAATAGGATAAGAAGGATGATGTGTTTTTTTTTCAGTAAATCGAGTCCGCCTGATAGATCATACGAGCTATGCGATCAATGTTATAACCAGGACAGTGAACACTATAGAGGACCGAGGATGGCACAGCCTCAAACTACCTGATTTTGTTCAACATGTAAAGTAAGTGGTAGAATACACATACGATAGTTATTTTTGTCAGTTACGGTAACTGCCTAAAAATTTCATAGTGGCACGGAGGTTTTAGACGCCCGCTTCTCATGCATGAGGGTGCGGATTCGAAACCTACCAACGGCAAGTACCAATGTGACTTTTTCCGAGTTATATGTATTTTCTAAGATTATCTAGACACCACTGATAAACGGTAAAGGAAATCATCGTGAGGAAACCTGGGCTTATAATTTTTTAATTTCGTATTATACGTTTGTAATCGCCAACCCGCATTGAGCAAGAGATTAGTGCTCAACCCTTCTCCGTGTGAGAAGAGGCTTTAGTCAGCAGTGGGCATTTATAAGCCGTTAATGATGATGATAAATAAATATTTTTTTTTCCTTATTATCCTTCAAGTCAATGCAATACACAGAGAGTTAAGTAGAGAAATAGAGAGCGCCCTAGACTAATTTCTTTTGGCGCCGCAATTGATTCTATGCAGTATGCATACGCGTCTCGCCTAGGTCATGTGGATCACACAGTTTTAAGTGCAATATGTCTTCTTCTTGCACGTCTTCTTATCCTTATCTCATATTCTTTCTTCTTCTTGTCATCATTACTACCAGGTTTTCGTTAATCATCTTCTTTAAAATTAAACTTTTACTTCGACATTTCAATTACATGATAATAATAATATATAATAATATAAGCCTTTAATCAGACAAAGTATTTACATTAAAATAGTTTGCAATTGCAATTTCCGGTTCCGGCATAGTAAACAACAGACGTTCCGATTATCACTCATTACAAAATATCCTTAAAAAGTGTTTCGACAAGTTCAAACAGTGTATACGGCAGTGAAAAGTAAACATTTAGTCGTGGAAAGTGCACTGTATAAAAAAGCCACGCACGAACTATCTTCAAAGTGGCT